CATATTTCAGCTGTTTACAACGTTTTTCGTTTAGGCTTAAAAATCGATAGGTGTTTTTTTTTTTTTTTTTACTAGGCCTAGGCAAGAGTTTATAAATTTAAGAGAACTTAAGTATATTTGCTTTGCTATACAATTTATATATCATAATAATTCCCAATTATTACAAATCCTGAAGCATTTTGCCGGAAGCTGCTTATATTTTCTCGTATAACTGCCTTACATAATTCTTCTGACTGTTCATCAATAACACAACTTATCATCATATGAAATTTGAAACTTCAATCATATTCCTTATGAAATGTGTGAATAGTGCGGGATCACCTTTGAGTGTTTTTATTATCAAAATGTTTAGTATAACTTGCGTTTATCACTGTTTCTGGATTTTGATAAATAATGTACTAATCGTGTTTCCCAAGACAGTTGCTGTATAGTAAACTTTAATTGTATTTAAATGTTGCGTCACAATATGAGTTTTGCTAGGATAGTCTAGCAAGATGGGTACACAATACTTTCCAGAGTTCCAAAATGTTATGTCTGCCAAATTTTGATTTCTAAAATATATTTGGGCTAATTGATGTTAATTTTTAATATAACCTTTAAATAATATTGGAGTCTATGAGAGGGAAATGTCACTCAAATATGGAAGATGGAAGTAACCACTAATTTATTCCACCAATCACAAGCCAGTAACTATTCTAGTCCCCTTATGTCCGTGTTTGTGAGAAAAATTATAAATGACGGTTATCTGCTAATGAAAGTGTTTTTGGGAATATGTTTTTTCTTGATTTTCTCTTTATTTTTGGTCCAAGACCTTCTTATCGACTTTTACACTGTACTTACTAGACACTTTCACACTGTACTTACAAGACAACTTGTCAAATAAAAATATTAGAAGGGTGTTTAGTCTTTTTGACAGTTAACGTAAACAAATATAATTAATTTCAACTTCACATTCTTTCAGGATCCCATGCCCAATCAATAGGATGTCAGAGAACCATTGTTCACCAAGCTCTAGAGCTCTTCGCCAGGACCACTGAGTTGAACTCAACAGAAAAAAATCAATACTTATTTTTTAATAACAATGTGTTTTGTGTAATCGGCATTAAATTAATATATTGAGTTAAACATGATAAGTAATATGTGAAAATAAATTAATTATACACTACTTTTACACTTTTAAAAAAATTTCAAGTATTTCCAAATGGTAGATATAAATTTACTAAATGTATTGCACAAAAAAATAACTAGAGCATTAATAAATAAGTATAAAAACATACGATTTGTATTCCCTTTCTTGTGATACAAATCCTATAGCATAGACTAGCAGTGACATAATTATCACGAGATAAGGTACCTATGAAAGGCGAGTCATTTCATTTATTTTTGGAGTTTTATCTTTCGATAAGTTTAGCCGTTATAACTTCTCATCTTAGTTAGCTTTTAATATGGATAAATTAAGTAGGCGTATTCTTAGTGTGCAAAAAGCAGTTAGTATAACATTTTATACAACGAAAAGGTTTTTACAAACAAAAATCCTTTGTGATAAGGCTTTGTGCGATTTTACTTTGTAGTAAATTTAATTTAGTGAATACATACTAATTTGTTGTCAAAATCACAATAGTACATCATATAGAGCCTAATCACTTATGATGGTTCCTCATGAATGAATAACTGAAAAATACTACGTGTTGAAAAAGTGATTGCGTTAAGTGTGCCCTAAGTAACACTTAAGAAGTTTCATTTTCTTGTTCATTAAAAGTAGCTGTTTCAAGTTTTTTTATCATCCAAATACCCATCGTCAAGTTAATTGAACTCTGATGGCACGTCATCAACTTAACTGCGCTTGACTTTGGATTTGCATAATGTTTTCATCAGAGTCCCAAAAAATATAATTACGTTAAAACAGCGTAATGACGTTTAAAATTGCAGTGGGATAGGATATTTAATGAGTTAGGTTACATGAAGAGAATAAAACTATATTAGGAAGAATAGAAAGTGACAATTCAATGATCATAAATGGTGGTGATCATAAATGCCACATGATCATAAATCATGTGGCAACTTGTTTGGATATGAAGGGCTACAATAATTATGGTCAGTTTTGAAAATTTTGTCCTTAGGGGTAGCAGGGGTTGGGGGTAACTTAAAATTTTCAAAAGTAAATGATAGTCGAGTTTGGTATCATTTTACAGGTCTTGACAAAACAAAACAATTAATATCATGAAAATAGAAATCGGACCATTAATAACAAAATGGCAGTTCAAAATTACTTTTAATAACCATGGTCTTAATCATTTTTAGCTGTCATTTTGTTATTATTGGTCCGATTTCTATTTTATTTATGTTAATTGTTTTGTTTCGTCAAGACCTGTAAAATGATACCAAACTCGACTATACTTGCTGTTTAACAATTTTGAGCTACCCCCTACCCCCACTACCCCTTAGGGCAAAATTTTCGAAACTGTCCATAATTATTGTAGCTCTTCATATCCAAACAAGTTACCGTAAACCGATTTCAAATATATCAAATAGTTAAAAAGTTAAAGGGGGTGCAAGTTAATTTTCAGCCACCCTCAACTACCACATAATCCTATCCTAATAATAATTATAAATCAACATTAAAACATAATATATTACTGTAACGTAGTATGACTTCATACAACATAATACAATAAAATACATAATTAATATAACATATATAATAATAATAATAGAGTCTTTATTTATTTATTTTTTATTTATTTTACGGTAACAACCATTTACAATAATATGCTAATATGCTATAAATTCTAAGAGTATTAATAATAGAGTATAACAATAATACTCTATCAAAAAATCAACGATTGTATAGTTTGTCATGTTAAATAATTACAAAATGTTCATCTATATAGTGTAGAGTAGCAAATACTACACCTAGTCTGGATTTGACAGTTTATTTCATCGTAATTGGCCTGAACATTCAAAATGGCGTACCTCTGAAACAGGTGGCTAATAATTTACAACTCATGTTTTCTGTTATCTGCCTCAATCTTACAGTTGAAGTTTTATTTTACTTATTTTGATACTTTATAAAATAATTTTTAATAACTTGTTATAAATTGACATATTTTAAATGTATTGATTAATATTTTTTCAAACGTAATTTTCGGGATTATTGAAAAAAAAACGCCTTTGTGTTTATAGTAACACTGTTCAACACTTAGGCTTAACCATATAGCATAAACAACAAAAGTCACGCATAACAATGCCATGAGTAAACAATAAATGTCTCCATTCTCACAGACCACGGGGGATACACTCGACAACTTGGCTTTTACACACCTTACAGTGACTTAAGTTAGTTAATTAGTACTTGTACTTAAATATTAAGTATCGCTTGGTGTTTACTAGTTTACGGACGTGTTAAAATGTTTACCTAAGACCGTTTTGTAAACTAACCGTTTCAGTCCAGTTCTTCGAATAAAAAAGTTTCACATAACAGCATTGTTTACTTACATAACATCATGGTTTAACTGAACAACACGGGTACCAATGAGGGTACCAATTGAGAGAAAAGAAGTAAAAATGTAAAGCTTCAAATCAGCCAATTTAATAAGTGGTGCAATTAGTGTTTGGTACAATGATTCGTTGCACGACTGTCAGTGGCCATGAGAGGTTTTGAACGATAGCATAACCTCTCTTAGAAGTTTTGAGTAGTGATTTTTAGTAATTAAAACACTGTTGTAGGTAAAGTAGTGTACGCAACTCGCGTAAATAGTTTTACTGACACTCGTAGAAGTTTTTCTCGTGTCGTTAACGCGATCATTGCGTAAACTATTATTACATACAACTAAGTGATTATAACCCTGGTAGGGTCACCGGTTCGACCCCCTTAATAACTTTTATAGATTCAAAACCAGGCATAGCTGTCCCTTATTATTTTTGTGTGCCCTACCTTAGGCGTTAGGTTATGGCCTAACACCGTTATACACATTACAGCACCTTAAGTATGGAGGGCTGCGAAATGATCACTTCCGTCTATTGGTGATTGGTGGGATTTGAACTCGGGACCTCAAGAGCCACTAGACTAACTTGATCCCCAGTCTTTGATCATTGGGTCACCATTTTTTTCATATAAATGGGTATGATTTGGAAAATCAGACTTATATCAGTTAGTCCCTTTAATCCATGGCATCTCCAGAATTTTTTAATTTTCTTTAGAAATTTAGATTATTACTGGCAATTTTTCCGTAAAAAAAAGGAAAAATCTAATTTTTACAAAAGGAGCTCAAATGGTTACGATTAAAATCCAAACAAAATGGGACAACCCCCATTGCTGTGTAAATTAAGCTTCAAATGTTATTGGAACCTTTGTGGGGTTCCCCATCATAGTAGCTTCCACCGCTCACCAGTGATATACGTTGTTAGCAAGCTTATAGGGAAAGGTATGGGGATTGCTGATACCATTTTGCACGAGACTATTTTTTCACAATTTACACAAATGTGATTGTTTCAGCAGCAGAGTATCAATTTCATGGCAGGTTCGATGCGTCTGGTATTTGGATCCAAAATTAGAAACAACTCTGTATATTTATTAGTTGATATTTTAAAGTTTTTATTGTATTTGATCCAAGTGCATAAATAAATATTCTTTATAGATACGTAAATAGATATCTATCGCCATTTACCATCTATTATGTGTATTTACAATCTTGTGAGTCAACAGTATAAGTGTTTGTATGTTTCAAATGTTATTTGATGTATTTTTTATTTCCTTTATTTAAATTGAACAACACGTGCAATGCCAATCAAGAAGCCAACGAGTAATAACTAACCTACTATAGCGCATTTAAGGAATTACATATACGAAAATAGTGCCTTTTAAAGACAACACCAGACCTAAAACACAATAATTACAGCATTCAATAATTTTCCTAGATAGTCTCTTCCTTTAACATCATCAGTTACCTTTATATCTATACACACTAGAAACCGATTTGGGTTTGAAAAAAGTATAGGAATCATAACAATCAATGTTTATTGAATTCTCCTCCACTCGCATTACAGACACTCAGGCATTCATGAAGTAAGAATTAAACTTTATGATAATTTTCATGAAATGGAAAAGTGCTTGAGTAGAATATAATGCAAATGTCATGATAATCAATTTTCATGTTGAACCCTCAACAGGACCAGTTTCTCACGTATGTTTTCCCAATATTCCATAAACAAGTCGTCAAAATTGTCAAGAACATTGTGTTTCATCAAATAGTCTCCTACTGTTCCTTTCAAGTGAAGTTTCAACGGCCCGCGCACCTTGATGAGCGATGTATCTGCCTTTTTCAACTGCTTCACAGTGACCATATCATTTTCCATACTTTCTGTGCATAGTTCCATCAGTCTACTGGTCAATTCATTACCCTGACCTAAGTCTTGTACATTGACTTTTGCAACTGCGTCAAGAATGGATTGAGCGAGTTTCTTTGCTGGTCCAACGATTTCCTGTAAAGAGTAAGTTAACTCATCCAACAATGTACATTTATAAACTGCTAAAGCTACAACAACATATAGTTTAAATTTTCCAATGTATGGGGTCCTAATAGAAACCCCAGTTTATTTAATTTAACAAAGAGGATTTTAGATATCGGTATATACTCTTTTGAATTGCATTAGGTGCAAAGGATCCATTATGTAATCTAGCTTGAGCCCCTGCTCATATACTTGAGTTCTGAAGCCTGCTGTTTACATCAACTTCTTTATTTATTTATGAGCATGTTATATATGCGTTAAATACCACTAACGTTGATTTTTAACTATATATTGAAGCACACGTATGTGAATATATATGGTGGATTTAAATTGGGTGAGGAAATTTTTATATTTTAAATCCCAGAGACCGTAAAGTATCTTTTAAATGTGCTTAGCTCACTTTTGACTACCTTTGTTGTATAATCATTATTAGGCTACTATTTAAAAATGCATTTAATATTCTTATCAGTAGTCCATTCTCTTAAATTCGTGTTTTTATACACATTTACGTTAAGATGTTTACAACTATGAAATTCCAAGGTCACCTCTTACGTCTTGTAAGAGTGAGTATATATCCTATTTTTAGCTAGACACTAACATGTTTGAAAGCCATTAAGAAATTGTAAAAAATATATTGTTTTTAAGTACATTTATAAATAGGGTCCGTTTAAACTACATTAGTGTACACATTTTAAGATTGAATATATACATAACCAAGCAACTTAGAAACATGGGAATAGTTAAATAAAAAATTGCAGATATAACCATTTTTTAGAAATTTTACTCGGATAGTTATGGCCATACTCTGAGCAAAGCCTCCTGCGAACAGTTATTATAAATCTGCTTTTATGAAACCCATGAGGTCAGATTGGTGTTTAAAATGTTAAATGTTACGTAGTATACAGCTGGTGTAGAAAGGTCCAATGTCGGTCTGCTGACTATGCAGTATGCAGGCCTACTGCAGCCACAACACATGCCATTGAGAAGAAACATAACTTATTAGGTGATTTTTACAGAATTTGTATAATCACTTTTCATTATTACTGACATTTTCATAATTATTTTTCGCAGTTACTGTATTAAACTGCTTTGAATTTTATTTTTAACTTAACAATTCCCATGTTGTTTAATAAGTCCAAAGTTGTTTGTTTGATAACCAAACAACAAAACAAACAGTTATGTTTAAATCATACCGGTGGAAAAGTTGTAGGCGTCTGTTCTCCCTGGTTCGACCCGCCAAGGCTTCCTAGACTGAATGAACCAGTTGATCCGGTCTGCTCCTGTATGTGTGAACCAAATTATTATATTTAAATATGCTTATAGGCTATGGAAACCAAAATTAAATACTCGATTAAAATATATTATATATGAAAATTACCATTCCGAATGGGTAGGAGACAGTGTCGGCTCCTTTCATTGGCTTACTTAAAAAAAAAAAAATATTGCGGCTGTTTAAGGTTCTCTAGCCAAAATATTTTATAAGCTAAGGATCATCCAAAAAAATAAAACTATAAGTTATTTTATAAAAGTATATGTTATTTTACGAGTATTTATTTACAGTACGGTATCTATTTTCGGTAGACCGTGTAGTAACAGCTATTTACCTTACAAGTGTAGGAAGAGCGTTTTTACATCACGCGTGTGAATGTTGTGCAACGAGCGGAAGCGAGTGTCATAATTCACTTAAGTGATGTAAACACGCTCTTGCGTAACGTACAAGATTTTACCTGACCGGAAAATATACAGGGGGTTACGTACAATATTTTTCACTATCCATTTCACTCATCTTCTAACAGTAACGTTCTTTTACAAAAAAAAGCTAGGTTAGGAAAATTCTTTAAAGCAAAGCAACAAAATTCAAGTGCACAGCTGATTTCTAGCGTTGAACGTAGTTGGTATATATATTTTTAGTTGAGTACTCAATGTTATTTAAATGGGTTTCATTACTTCACTAGTGAGTTTTTTGAACTTCACTTCACTCGTGAAGTAAAGAAGTTTTTTTCACCACGCTTGGGATAGGGAAGTTTAACATAGCGGGTTGGGTAAATATTTTAATTCAGTTCCCATTGTTGTGCTAGTGCAATAGGGAATTTGAGCGAATCACGTTACCATAACATTAGAATTCCTCAGTTAGTTATAATTTAATCCTTGCTACTTTAGTAATATACTATTACATCTCACATTGTTTTTATTTTTATGTGTTGAAATACATGTTAACAGCCATAATACAAAATAACATAAAAATCTACTTACAGTAATAAAAAGAAATACTGGGAAAAGGTATGCATTCTATAAAAAAACTTAATTAAATCCTAATTTTTCATTGTAGGGTTTTGGTAATATTTTAATACATGTTCAAAATTAATTAAATTTGAGTATAGTATGAAAATAAAAATAAAAATCACATTATACCATACTTAACCCCTAACTAAACAGACTCTACGTTAAGATGTTTACAACTGTGAAATGCCTTATAAGGACACCTCTTACTTGCAAAAGTGAGTCTGTATTCTATTTTAGCCAGACACTAATATTTTATAAAGCCATTAATAAACCGTTAAAAAAATAAATCGAAGAAAAATATTATTCCTTTTTCCTTAATAAAATCAGGCCGTCGTCTTAATTTTCTGCCTGCTCACGTGAGCGCCAAAGACCAGTTAGTGGAATGTATTTATAAGGAAGAGTGCAATAGTGGACTATATTGTGGTGTGGACTATGCATTATGGTGAGACTGGGAAACTAGATTTACATTGTATTGTGTAACAGGTTGAGCAAAAAAAATTTCAAGTATGGGTTGAATTGTCTTCTTCATTAATTGTAATATAGGGTTGGCAAGGTGAATTGGTATGCAAGTCAGGAGGCGTATTGGGATGTTAATGTAACTACTCTTGCTTATCACTCAGTAACAGTTTAGTTATAATAAGCCACTAAATGTGAGAAGGGGGGGGGGAGAAAGGGGTCAATGTACCTGGACCTGGGTGAAAATTCCGATGAAGGGAATATGAATTGGTTCTGGTAATTATGAAACCAGTGTAGGGAAGTAAATTAATTCTGAAGAAATGTGACTAGGTCTGAGCTGCATCCAGGACGCTTCCATCAACCTTCCAGGAGTTTTAGTAAGTTTTGTAATGCTACCATGTGTTTAAGCCTGAGCATAGTTGAGATGGGTTTTTGTATGTCACAGAATGATTATAACAAGAATAATCTATGTCTAAATCATACCGATGGATAATTTGTAGGCGTCTGTTCTCCCTGGTTTGATCCGAAAAGGCTTCCAAGACTAAATGCACTAGCTGTTTGTGACTGCTCCTGTATGTGTGAATCAAATTATTATATTTAAATATGCTTATAGGCTATGGAAACTAAAATTAAATACTCCATTAAAATATACTAAATATGAAAAGACCATTCCCAATGGGTAGGAGTGTCGGCTCCTTTCATTGGCTAATTTGTGCCTTTTTGAATGGTTTTCTAGCCAAAATATTTTATAAGCTAAGGATCATAAAAAAATGTATGTTATTTTATAAAAGTATATGTTGTTTTACGACTAAGCAAAAATATTGTGCTCCAGGACGCTTCCATTGATTAAGTTTTGTTATACTTGTTTCATTAAAGAAAAAATCATTTATACAAAGCCAGATTATTAGATTAGTTTTTTTTGTTTATGTTACTATGTGCTTATGCAAGTTAATCCTGAGCATTGTTGAAATGTGTTTTCTATATGTCACACAATGTCTATAAGAAGAAAACCCGTTCGCAACTCGAAACTACACGTTTTCATGTCTAAATCATACCGATGGAGAAGGCGTCTGTTCTTCGTTTTTCGTTCCAATAAGGCCTCCAAGACCAAAAGCACCAGCTGATCCGGTCTGGCCCTGTATGTGTGAACCAGATTATTTTAATTAAGTTTACTTATAAGTTATACAAACTAAAACTAAATGCTCGTAAAAAGACCACTGAGAATGGGTAGGAAACATAAGTGTTGGCTCCTTTCATCGGCTTATTTGTACTACAGTTGAATGGCGCAAATAAAGTTGTTCTAACTAGGGATCATCCAAGAAAATAAAAGTATATGTTTAGGACGTACAATTTAAGACAGAACAAAATAATTGTGCTGTCAAAATAAGTTCACACACAACTACGATGTATTATTTTTTGTTGGACTCTGTATTAAGTGGCTTTTGTATTTTAATTTTGTTCCCTTTGTTGCGCTTGCGCAATAGGAACTATGAGAGAATCAAGGCACCACAACAATAAATTGGAATACATTAAGTTATTTTTATAGCTCAGCCAGTGTTAGATTAGTTACATTACTACCAAGAATATTGCTGTTCATCTGTTTTAATAACATCCGCAGATAGCCTACGATATTATATTGCAACTTGTTTAGTTCAAAATATATATTATATAATTTTTTTTATTGTAATCACCAATTTCAAACATGGTTTGTTTACGTTTTTATTAATATTAAATAAATATAACTATATAAAAAAACTAAATTTTTGGTATATGAAATTTTACAATAAAAACTATAACCAAAACGTTACAAAACAATGCAATTTTCAATAGTGTTTATGGGGTAAAAATGGGGTTTTCCCATTTGTGACCCTAAAAACAAAAAAAATTGCCATTTATTTCTAAACCGGTTTGTAGGGCATAAAAAAATAAATAATTTAGTATATTGAAGCGCTGTTGTATGCCTAACGGTCACGGAGAAAATTAAAAAATAGTGTAACTTAAAATTCCCATGTTATTCTTATGGAGAAAATGAAAATTATTGTAGTTAACTTGTTTATGAATATATATTGATAAAATTTGGCAAATTCATTTATTTCATCCAATACTATTGACGTGTAGTCAAAAAAACGCTTTTTACCTTCCCCATAGCAGTAAACCTAAGCATTTGTTAAATCTAATGCTATTTAGGCCTAAATAGGGAATAAATATGTCTTATTTATGAAAATATTTTAGTAAAAATGTAATCAGAAAAGTTGAAATTCGCTTAGTCTGAAGGTTTTCTGCGGCGGGGGTATTTAATATTTAAGTTGAAACAATGGATAAAATGAATAAAAAGATTCGTCCATGTTATTGTTTTTTTTTATTTATATCATCTGTTACAATTAATTAATGGTACGATTAAAATCATTACGATATTATTATTGAACAATTATCGATGTATATCGTTATTCATCCGTAATATACTCTGTGAAAGTGTACCCCTTGCTTGTTCTTAAACACTTATGATACATATTTGTATACGTTCGAAATTTGTAACTGCCACAAACTACGAATCTGATCATTCATGTGCTACACATTTTTAGTAAACTTACCAAAGTTTGAAGTCAAAGAAATAAAGTCCTATATTTTATAGTTGCTACAAATATTTTCATCTTTCCCATATCACAATATTTTTAGTATACACTCAATTCCTGTCAAATACGCTCCACGTTCGCGTATTTTCCCAACCACGTATGCTTTTCCGTGGAAAAAGTAAAAAGTTTACAAACCATCATCTTAAAATGATGGTGTGAGATAAATACCTTACACGTGTGTGAAAATATGCACAAACGTATATGATCTTTATACGTTTATATTAAAGTTTACAATTTGGTTTAAATCATAGGTCAACCTATCCTATTTATTATTTATTTATTTATTTTTGGAGTAAATGTTAGCATCAAACATTTTGACGTACCTGCCGATAATTCTTTTCTCACGTCAAGAAGTAGCCCTAATCCACTCCAAAAGATTACATTTTAAATTCGTAAATTCGACCTTATAAGTCAAACTATACCTTGGTTAAAGAGTCAGAATTTGGTTGTTGAGCGATTCCGAAAAAATCAACTGTTTCACCCACTTTTGGTCCATAGTTTTTACTTTCTTCGTGTTCCTTTTTGAACCTGGCTAATATGGCTTGATTCATGATGGCTGGCTGTTGAAAAATAAAGTAAATAAATTAAAATTTGGATTATTGGAGGTTCAACAAGATGAATTTTAATCAAGGATAATTTTGGTAGCTAAATAGGCTCTGTTTGACTGTTTTAATTCATTTCTGCATTCCCAAGTTATCTTCGTCAAATATATAATCGCACGTGAGTTTACAGAAAATTTGTTACTGTGTTTGAATTTCTGGTTTTGGAAATCTGAAGGAAGGTGTTAATCCTTCCCAAAACCCCCTGTATTGTAATATTTGTAATAGCTTTTTTTGCTTATTATGTGGCTGTATACAAGCTTGAATAAAAATGTAAATAACAGCTTTACCAATATATGTTTTTTTAGTTACACATAACCTATACTTTTAGAAGTAGAAGACTTTAACTATATAGTTTGTTTATTTATGATTCGAAAAATTCTGTTTTATATCACATTTTTTGGTTCAAATTTTAATTAACTATTTGGCTAAGGTCACTGATATTAACAGTCTTCAAAAGTATAATTTATCGAACAAAGCAAATGTCAAAATGACGTATTATTAAAGTGATCAAACTCAAAGTAGTTTGTCATTAAAACTAGCCAATAAATAAAAATTATACTCGTCATCAAATTTATAGGTATAAAAAATCCAAATATATATTAAATTGTAAAAAAATTAAATGACAAATAAACAAGATTTGGTAATTTTTAATTGTTCACTTAAAGCAATATTTTAAAGTAATATCTTAACAAACTAGTTACTAGATACAATTTCACAACTGCAAAAGGGTTAACCTAATACCATTCACTTGACGTAAAAGAGAAAATAATAAAAGTTAATAATTTTCACTATAATTTGAAAACTCTTAACCCTAGATATTTTTTCAGCATGATGATTTCTTTTGACTTTTTAATATGTTGCCATATTGAAAACACACAATTATTTTTTAAGCCCTCCGATTGTTGTTTTATAGTTTATTTAATAATTTAAGGTGTTTTTGAAATACAAATGGGTTTTAAAATGAATATAGTAAGTTAACAGTTGGTATGGAATACAACTTAATATATTTTCACTTTATCCACTTATACATAGAGTAGGCCTATTAAAGAAAAATTATTGTTTTCGTCAACATTTTAAAATTCAAGCTATGGGTGTTTTTAACAAGATAATGAGGGAAATTATGTGTTAGCTTGTCCATTTACTTATAGGCGGATCATTATAAATTGCGAAAACTTGTTTCTTTATAAACCGATGTTTCCGAACAAGGAGCTACTGACAGTATTTATACATACATTTAAATATTTACATTTAATTTAGTTTTAAATCTGATACTGCGTGTAATTTAGATTTTGTCCTTAGTTTTCAAAAAATTTTACTTTGAAATGTTAAAAGACTGCCATTTTAAATTTTGTGTCACAAGAAATTTCTATAATTTTTTTGTTTCCTAACATATCTATAAAAATAAAGTGTCATTATGTTTGAAATAAAAAGGGATCCAAAGTTAATACCATCGATTATTTTTATATGTCTTGATTTCATGAAATTTGACGTATAAAGTCTAACTTATGATTTATATGGACAACTTACGTCATCGCTATTATAGGAGTTCGCCAGTTTTGTAGGGCTTCTAGTGAAAGTAGTAGCTCGTGGTAGTTGGTAGTGGTTACTGGTTACCGATGTACTTGAAGGCCCAGAGAATGTTCCCTGAAAGATTGTCAAACACACTTGTAATAGTATTTACACTTAAGTTATACTGTTTACTCACAATAAGGTAAATACATATAAAAGGATAAAAAGGGACTATGTGGCCCTAACTTTGCCTGAACAAATATAGAATTTTTCATTTATTTTATATTTTATTTTACTTTATATACGGCGAAAATTTACTATAAACCTGAGGTTATAATGTTTTGTTTATACTGAACTATTTTGGCTGCACCGAATTTAATACAAAATTAATTAAGCATAGCACAACTAAAATACCTATTTTCTTAAGCTGTAGGTCTAGGGCATAGAACCAAAAACAAATAAATTTATTTATTGGTACTATTTTATTGAATTAATCTGACTTTTTATCGTAACTAGCTTGTTCATTGAATTATATTCAACCATGGTTCATACAGCCAAAACCATTAAGCTTTGCCTATAAAACCTGTTTTATTTAGTTATCACAGTAAACTAAATTCACAATAATTCCTTTGTCTGAAACTATATACAAATCCAATATGTTTATCAATTTACAAGCCTGTCCTAACGACATTGTAAAACGCATTTTAAATATACTTTTATAAAATGTTAAAGTTATTCCTAGTTATAAACAAATAATTTAAAACAAAATGAAGCAGGGTTTATTTTCGGGATCTGTTAATCCTCACTTAATCGTAATCAGTTAAGTGATTACCTTGTTTTGCCAATTGTCATTTGAATGCATTTCTGTACTTTTCGGCAACATTTTCCACACATCATCACCTTTGTTCATAGAAAGTTTTGCCCCTTCAGTTTTTAACATAAGAGTCAAATGGTCAACAGTGTCTTCTTGTTGTCCAGAATTAGTCCAATCTGTTTTTCCAGGTCCATAGTTAGGGGCAGTCCGATCTGTGTTTCCAGGTCCATAGTTAGAGGCAGTCCGATCTGTGTTTCCAGGTCCATAGTTAGAGGCAGTCCAATCTGTGTTTCCAGGTCCATAGTTAGAGGCAGTCCGATCTGTGTTTCCAGGTCCATAGTCCATAGAGGCAGTGACCACTCCCATCCAGCTAAGCAGAGTCACGACTGCCAAACACCCTTCCATTATTTGTTGTCTGGAAACAGTAAAATTAAAATTAAAAACATTTTTTGCATGCAAATTATAGCAATAGACTCTGGCTGTTGTATAACATTGCACTTTATCACTGGGCTTACTTATGAAAACTATACAGTGTGATTGAAATGTCCCGGAATGGTGTAATATATTTCTTAAATTTATAGATAAAGTAATAAAACTTGGTATATCAATAATAACCATAACGTCGACTCTATTAAGCTATTATTACATTTTTACCTCTTAAGGGGGGCGGCCTACGAGGAGTAATACGAAATAGCAGCATAGGTCAAGTTTGGTTTATAATTAATGGTTTATAATTAAAGGTCTTATTTAGTAAAACACAATGCCGCAAACCCGAACTCAAACGGACATTCAAGTCAAAAATGGCAGCTGTTCAAATACTTCTTTAATCTGCCATTTTGAGTCTTTGAACGGCTGTAGTTTTTTAACTAACTGATATTTTCAGCTCAATTTTTCGGCATTGTATTCTACTAATAAAGGCCTTTACTGTAATGTGAATATCGACCCATGCTTACGTTTATGATTTTCTTCCGACTTCTAGCGGGTGCCTCGCAGTAGTCTATTCAAATTCAAGAAATCTTTGAACAACTGTAATGTTTGACTCCGTTGTCCGTTTGAGTTCAAGTTTGTGGCATTGTATTTTACTAACAGGGACCTTTAAGATACCAAGCTCGACCTGTGCTGCTATTCAAGAATTTTGTCTGACTCCTCGTGGGCCGTCACCCTTAAGGGATAAAAAAGTAATAATAGACAGTTTTGGTTGTTGAAAATTGAAACAGTCGATATTGTAACAACAACAAATATTAGTTTTTGTTTATGTCGGCAAAATCCAAAAAAGCAAAGTAGGCCCTAAACACTCATTTTGCATAGTATTTTTTTTTTTGTGTTGTAAACAATGTAATGATGAATCTACGCATATAATAAACCTGTAACGAAAACAGGTGACTTCACAGTACTGCAGCAAAAACAGCCGTTTTAAATATATGCCTTGGGGGGCTGAAATAAAGTTCTATTGGGAGTAAAAAGCCTTTTAAGTTTCTAGGAAGTAAAAAAGAGATGTTGTAAACTCAGTTGTAAACTTTGGTTGTAAGCAATCGTATGTATCGAAATTATTTATCGATTAATCGGATGGCTTATTTTTGCATTCTTCTCAATACACTCACACAATCGTAATAGATCAAACGATTGAATCTTTTACTTACTTAAACAGCTGCTTCTTTGCAATAACAAAATTGAAAAAATATGAAAGTCGTTTTAGGAGATAATTACGAAAAGTGGTTTTGTTTTCTCGCTAGGTTTGTCAAATAGTTTTTAAATTTGACTAAAAACAAAGTTCATCACCCAGGGGAAAAGTTTCTTTTCAGCCCTCCCTAATTTTATTGAACGTGAAACTTGAGCTTGGGACGAAAAGAATCACTTAACGTCCAAAAAACCATTTCGTTGTTCTTTGGGTAAAAAAAACCCCGCCGCAGCAAACCTGCCGATTAAGCGAATTTCCATTTGTCGGAATTGATTTTCAATTAAATCTATTTAAATAACATTAGGTTTAACGAGTCCCTACAAAACCACTAGGGACTCCTAGGTTTGCTGCTACAAGAAAACTGTTGAAGTCAGGTTTTTAGTAAAATAATAATAGTTTAGTACAAAATAAATACATTTGCCAAGTTTTATCAAAATATATCCATAAACAAGCAAACTACGACATTTTACAATATTCTCCATAAGAATAACATGGGAATTTTAAATTTACAATTTTTTGAATTTTCTCCGTTACCGAAAACCGTACAAAAACACTTTGATATACTAAATTATTTGTTTTTAAGCTCTTTAAAAAGGTCTAGAGATAATTTGGGATATTTTGTGTTTTGAAGGTCAAAAATGAGAAAAACCATTTTTACCCCATAAAACCCCCCGTAAAACCCCATTCCCATGGTCCGATCATGCTGGTTCGCGAACTCATTCAAGTTTATCCCACCTTACACCTTTCAACCAAATTTCATCAAAATCGGACAAAAATCACTCAAGTTATCGCGTTCGCGGACGTATATATAAAGACATATATAAAAATTTGAACGAATGGTGTTTTTGGCTTCTGGGGATATCAAAATGAAAAAGTAAATCGGTCCCGGGCCTAGTTCTTACCGTGCCACCTACGGTAATAGCTACTTCCCAATAGGGAAATTCGCTAAAACAATCACTGATATAGGATTAAATAAAATAATACTTTAAATTGAAGAAGATCAAAGTTCACTCTGCCAAGGAAATAAGTATAACTTGTTGTATTATTAAAATGATATTCCTATGTGACACGTATTTTATAACATTATGCCCAAACGAGAGCAAAGTCACGAAAAATTGATTTTCAACCAAAAATAAATGTATGTTCCTGGAATTATAAAAAATAAAATAAATTAATATAAGTCGTATTAGTATATATTCAAATTAAAATTGACATTTAAAATATATTTGTTGAAAACCTACCTTTTATCCTGCTAACTGCACAGCTTTGAAACTGTTCTAGGCTGCTAAAATGTTGACGCTTACACGTTAGCTAACACTTGATGTCAAATACGTTAAACTGTCTCGGTGTTTAACATATTTCATACACATGTGTTGCGGGATTGCAAACTTTTTGAAATATGTTGCCTTGACAGTCTTTCTACAAGATTCGATATTCGTGTCACTTAAATTTTCGGTGTATTTATTTATTCCCAACGGAAAATTGCCAATACATACACAAGATTGCAAAAAGTAACATGCAATGTTACTATGATGTTAAACATAGAGTAACCATAACCAGATAGCAATTGATAAAACAATAACAAAAAAGCTAGTTAACAAGCAGGAGTTAACAAAAACTTAGTAACAAAAACATTTCAACAACAATAAATTAACAACAGCAAATTGCAAGAAGAAATACCCCGCCACAGCAAACCTGCAGACTAAGTGAATTTTGATTTGCCGAATTTGATTTTCAATTAATTCAGTTTAAATAACATTAGGTTTAACAAGTAGGCCTACCTAGATTTGCTGCTACAGGGATCCTAATAAAGTGTGATTTCAAATATAATATTATAATTTTATTTAACTTAGTATAAAATAAATAAATTTACCAAGTTTTATCAAAATATATCCATTAAAACAAACTACAACAGTCTACAATATTCTCTCTAAGAATAACATGGGAATTTATTATTATTTTTTTAATTTTCATTGTAATTAATAAGCGTACAAAATGACTTTAATTATTTGTTTTTTAAGTTATTTAAAGTGTTCTAGAGTAAAATTGGGGAATATTTTGTTTTGAGGGTAAAAATGAGAAAACCCAATGTTTACCCCCTACCCCGATCCCATGTTCCTGTTATATCAACGGGCATGTTCGATCATGCTGGTTTGCGAATTCATTCGGCATTCGAGTTTATCCCATCCTACACCTTAAGGCCGAATTTAATCAAAACCAGACAAAAATTACTCGAGTTATTGTGTTCATTGACACGTCATATACCTTAAACACACTTGTTATAAGTGCGATGTTTATAAAGCAATTTAAATATGGCCGAGAATGTAATCACATACACACACTCGTGTTTTTAACGTACATTTTCGCTACACTTCAAAGAATAATATATTTTTAATTTAAAATATACATTGCTATACTCTTATTTTCATAACGATTAGAGATATTTCAAAACTAATCTCATTTTAAGGTTAGACATGACATTTAAATTTTGATATTCGTGCAATTTACATTTTGATGTATTGCATATTTCCAAAGTTACGACACACGATGGTCTTCATAATCAACGAACCCTAAAATGTAATTATTTATTAATGAATGTTTTCCCACAAACCTATTCTTATTAGGCTTTTTATGTTCGGCAATACAAAGTCTTGTTGATTTGAAATGACCAAATCTGCTACTGAGTAATTAAAGCAATGGTAGAAAATACATTTACCACTGAAAAATACTTTCATGTTTATTTAATGTCTTTAAATTGTAGTGACAATCTATGCAATTATTGGTGGCACTGTTTTTATTCGCTTTATACTTCCTTTTTGTGTATGGTTTTATCGTTTAAACGTTCGTATATTCATGTACTGCATGTGAATCGACCACCTTACGAAGTGATCACTTCATCCGTTGACTTGAAGATGACTTCTTGAAAGTTGAAACTAGTTGCGACATTAGCAAACAATTTGGATTACATGGAAGCAGATATTATGAACCAATTTATATATTCAACGGAATCCGTAGGCTAACCTTGAAACGTATTTTGTTAGGTGATAAAACAGTTTAGATCTTAGAACTGTATTGGTGATTTAAAATGCTTACATTATAAAAAACAAGCGTAAAAGTTAAACTAATTGTTGGCAACCAAGGAATATTTAGGATAGTTCATTTGCAAATCTAACGACCCGTAATACCCACGAGTCTGTAATCAGGAAAATTGAAATTGTACTCATTACAAAAAGGTAAACTGAACAAGAAGATTGATTTATTTCAAAAGTAAAAAAGTTACAAGTAAATTCTTATTTCCTCAATTCATACAAAACATATATGTAAGGGTGGTTGTTTTCGAAAACGTAAGAACCTATGTAATCAATGCGTAATATGTTTTACACACTGTAATACATATGAATTGTAACAAGTTTTTTAAGGATTGCGTTAGGTCATATCAAAGTTATTTTTGTGGACTTAAGATTTTGCAAATTATTTATTATATTAAAAACTGATTTTCCAAGAGTCATTAAGTGCTCAGAAAAGCTTAATACCTAAGTGTTTAAAGGGTCAATTTTTGTATATCAGTAACATTAACACAGCAATTAACATTGATCTCATGTAAACCGTGACTAAAGCTGAGTTGTTATTATTTTTTTGCCTAACGCAGTTTGTCTTAACGGTGAGCCAACTGACGTCATGAGGCATAGCCGCAACGCTTGGCTGAGGTTGCGTTTACATTGGAGGCACGCTTGGTCAAGCTTGCCCTTTGAAACAAAATTGTAGCAGATTACTGGAAACCGCTGGCGACCAGTCATGGTTACAGTGCTTGCCACTAGCAAGTGCAAGCTGGGACAAGGTTGCTCCTCTTAAATCACGAAACAAATAAATTTGTTTTTGAAGCAAGCGTGACTCAGTTTGTTGTGGTTCACTGACAAAGTAGCATCGCTTATGTATCTGAAAACTGTTGTTTTTTATATTTAAGTGTTGTAATAAGTTGTTTAATTGTTCAAAATGGATACCGAGGCGTTGATTGATACATTTATTCTTTTATAACGTTTTTATAGTTATCGCATTATTATTGTTGTACTCTATTTGCAAATATAGGTACTTTAACTTGTCAATCAAACTATATGGAAATTTATTTTCCTATGAAAATATACCTGTAACAATGGTATGATAAAAATTAAGCTCCTCTAGGCTTATTAAAATTACACTGTTTTGGTTAGTATAATTATGTGTTTTTATAAAATAATTAATTATACAAACATTACATCGACTCCTACAGTTTCCCGTCCCCCCCCCAACTCGTTTGAAGTCTAATAATACAAATGTAACTCCATTTTCAAGCACACTGTCCGAGTGTCCGCATCATCTGACATCTAAATTTTGACTCTTTTGTGATGTAGGCCTACTGTGACTAGTGTGGGCGACCACTGTTCTTGGTTGCTCTGCTCTAATGTCGATTGTCTGTGCTATCGGCAACGGCACGCTTGCGCAAGCGTTCACCACCATTTTACTTGCCCAAGCGGGCCTCCAATGTAAACGCAGCTTGACACCTCTCCAACTACGAACGGGGAGAACTCAGCCGAAGTTAGTCCATTCGTTTCTGTCGGTCACCTGAATTCCGCGTCTCCCACTTTCCCTTTTTATAAAAATGAAATCCATCATTCAGAATAATGTCTAACTTAACGTATTGTTGTGTATTGTTACGAGTTCTACTCTAAGATTGCTATTTTTCTTTTTAGCTAAAACTGTTGGGTAATAAATTTTAGTTAATTAAATTAAATCGTTCGTTATGATTACAGTAAGTTGGAAGTCAAGTTTATTGTAAATTATTTGTTCAAAGTTTGTAGTTTCATTTGGCAACCTGTCACAAAAGAAATAGAAAATATACTGTTGATTGACTAAGATGGGGAACATTTTTCGCAAAGAAAAATAAATAACACGACTACTTTTGCTGAATGATCTTACAGTTTCGTTTTTGTTTGTAGTTGACGCGTTCTGCCTTGTTATTAAAACACTTGTTGTTAAACACATTTAGACTCTAAAATCAAACCAAAATGGCAATGTCGCTTACATATATTTTTACTTTTCAAAACTGTGTTTTCGAAAATTCTGGTTGTAACGTTGAAGTGTTCACGGAGCAGTATTAGCTGTTTTTTATTCGCTGAAATATATGATAGATACCACTTGTTGTGCGTCATAAACCTAATTCACCTGTCACTTTGACAAATTGAACCATCAGGTAACATGAATTCAAGTTGGTAAGATAGTCAGCCATATGTGGTTTGAACCCGAATCGTTTCAAAAAACTTTTCACAGCAAACATTTAACAATGTTTTTTTGTTTTATAAAATGATATAGTTTAAAGTTACAGTAACAAATAAATTTCTTTTAGCAAAATTGTCTGCTATGTTATATCTTTTCAACAACACATTTAAACGTAGCGATAGAAGTACTACAATTCACGATCTAATGGCTTTGCCGCTCTGAAAATTTTCATACTTCTTTAAATTATGTGGACATTATAGAATCCGGTTGATAACTAACAACCGGATTCTATTTTGATGAATCACATATTTTACTACTAGTCACGAAAGTGACGCCCGAAATGGGACTTAATTGACGAGTATTGAACTATACTTTTTATCACGATGAAAATAAACGGTATCAGCAATCTGACACATAATTTCTCTCATAAGCTTGTCAACAACCTTTATCATGGGTAAGCGGTGAGAGTGATAATTTTGTAGAAAAAAATCACGAAAGTTGCAATAACTTTTAAACCGTGATTTTTACGGAAAATGGGATTGATAAAATTTTGTTCAGAATCTAAAGGAATATAACATACTAAATTTTTATCAAAATCGTTCGGGTCATTTTAGAGAAAATCTGATTTTCCGTTATTTTATGGGAAAATCCCCATTAAAATCAAAATAAAAAAAAATGCCTGGAGATACCATATATTAGTACCTACATACAAAATTTCATCAAAATCGGACTACAGGTGTGGTCTGTAGCTCTGTACACATCCACACATACAGACACACACACACAGACATCACTTCGGAAACAACTTTTTTGGGTGCAGGGGGGCCCAAAATTGATATATCCACTCAAAACTCAAACTCAAAAGTTTTGACGAAAATAATACTTTCTCCATATACTATGTATAAGGGGAGAAAGTAAAAACTTCTTCATTAAACTTTAAAAAAATATCTGATATTTCGTAATCTATTCATTTTTCTAATCTAAACACAATACGGCTTTACAATAAATTTTAGAGCAATTGCTTAGTATCAAGGGCGTTATTTTAAAACGAATAACAGTCATAATTTCTGATGACTTTAAAAGATTCGACTCAAAGATTAATACTCAAAAAGGAAATACT